GGAGCAGCGGTGGGCTGTTGTTGCTGTGCTGGCTTGGATAGTTTTGAGTTACATTTTGACAAAACCTGTCAGATCTAAGTATTATTATGTTTTTTGTTTAAGTTATTGTTTAACATGATTCTTTTTTATTATTATTTTGGAACAAATTAAGTCTCTGTTTAAGAACGCCGGTCGCAGCTGCAGGTTCCGCTGCTTTAGAGCACCGCATATGCACGCGCATATATGTTCGGTTTGCCTAACTGAACGTAGTTTAACTGTCTGCCACAAGTTGATCTTGTAATAAAGGTCTCATCGAGGAAAAACCCGCTGTATTTTTGTATTCATTGCATTTTTGAATTATAAAAGTTAAATAATTAATTTTATTATAAAAATATTAATGATTAATCGATAGTCGATCGTTAATTCTCCCGACGATCGACTAAGAAAATTTAATCGAATGCCCATCCCTAATATATATATATATATCCTTTGATGGCTAAGCTGAATTTGCATCAGTCATTACATTACCTCCAGTCTTCAGTGTCACATGATCCTTCGGAAAACATTCTGATATGCTGATTTTGTGCTCAAGAAACATTTCTTATTATTGTCAGTTGTGCTGTCTAATATTTTTGTGGAAACTGTGATACAATTTGTTTTTCAGGATTCTTTGATGAATGAAAAGTTCAACAGAACGTAATTTATTTAAAATAGATTTTTTTAAATGTCGTTTCTGTCAATTGAGTATTCATTTCTTTAAAAAAAACAAAAACTTACTGACCCCAAACTTTTGAAAAGTAGTGTTCTTATCAGTGCTGAAAATAATACAGTATGAGATAAGTTAAGCATTATGTGTTGAATGAAGCATTGTCAATAATGGACAAAATTTGATATTGGAAATGTAATCAAAATATTTATTTTAATTTATTTTCTCATATGTTTATAATATCAGGCATTTCAGAATGTTATAAATGATATAAAAAATATATAATATCTGTAAATAATCACATTAAATTGGCCCACTCATTTATCTCCTGTTGTGTTTTATCTGTACATGAAACATAAGCATGCAGATGCAGATTCTTCTGTGTGTAAGTTGCTTTTCTCTGCATTTCATCTTTCTCTCTTCACTCTCTATGTACTTTTGTGATCTCTTTCTCCAGCTCTCTGTTTTTCGCTGGTATCATATGGTGGTTCTGGTTAGAATTTGCTGCACTGCTCTTTGTTTGGGTACATAAATCATAAGACCTGCAGCTGCACCGCAAAGGTCACTTCAAATCTCAAGTAAAATGGAGTAGAGCCCAGAGGGAGAGGACCTCCTAGTGCCAGCTCGCTGCTTCCTTGCTGTCGTGTGTGTGTGTGAGAGTGTGTGTGTAAGGTGAGGGGCTAAAACTCAAAGAGAAATGTGAATGGAGTAAATCCAGCAAATCTCACATGCTCCAGTGCCCGCAGGAAAAGAGAGAGAGAGAGAGAGAGAGACTTCTTTTCCATCGAAATAGTCCCATGCTCACGTCGGAGCCGTTGCTGAATCTCTCTCAGAACTGGATGGATATACTGTATATATATATATATATATGCTGTATTACTATATTAAATATATGTGTGTGTGTGTTTGTATTTATATATTCTGCAGTATCCAAATAGCAATAGAGTGCATTTACAGCATTATTTTAGTTGGGTTGGTTCAATGTAGTCACAGTGTCAGAGTTGAATTGTTATGGGAGCTCGGGGTTAGCGCTGAATGTTCCTGCCACTCTGTGATTCAGAACTCCACTTTCAAGGCCACAAAAGCAAATCCTTCCATTCAGCTGCATGTCAAGAAGAGGAGAGAGAGCAGAGGAAGTGAGGCATGTGTGCAGCCTCACCCAGTCCATCTCTTCTGTTTCAATCACGGTGACACACGTCACTGTATCAGTGTCGCTCATTCAGACATATACATGAACACATAGAATACATAGATAGAATACTATGTATTTTCTAATTTTATATATATTCAGTAGATTCCAATTGTGTAGTATTGTTTTTATAAATATAAAAAATTCTGTATATATTAGAGAAAATTCTACTGAGGAAAATTCATTCTGTATGTCAAAAGGGCAAAAAAAGTTTAGTTGTGTTTTGTCCCAAACATTTTTTGGACTGATGCAATTTCTATGATGTGTGATGCTTTTTGAATTGCAATTCAGTAAATCCTTTTTCCTGTCATTCTCATTTAAATTCTGTTTCAGCATCCTGTGAGGACTGGCCAATTCAACTCAGATTCTAAGTCATAAATTTGAAAGCAGCCAATTCTTAAATTCAGAGTGTTGTACGCAAGTGGAGCATCCACACACAACAGAGAGCTGCAGAGGTAACACAGGGACACAGGCCCAGAGAGAGCTTTGACAACCAGAGAATGAAGATTAAAATCACTGCAGGACACAAATTCTGCCGTGGGATTGTGTGTATGTGTGCGGGGGGAAATGCTCCAAAGCGTTTTCCAGTTTATGTGTGTCTGGCTTCGACCGGCAAAGAAAAATTGTGGTCACGAACTCTCCGCTCTCCATTTTCCAGTTGTGAACTGTTATTTCTTACAGAGTAAGCACTAACTTGCTGTAACAATCCACTCATATCTCTGCGGTACCAATCCCAGCATTCCGTTCAATACGTAGTGAAGCCCCTCCCTCGCATGAGTGAACAATAGGGCCCGAGCAGGGAGGGCGTGGAGCCATGTAGCCTCAGTGGGCTTAAATGAAATTCATCCAGTGCATGCAGGAAGTCATAAGCAGACAGTGAAGAATGGTAGTGCTGTAATCTCTCTGCTGGGGAGCGGGACGGGACGGCGGCCAGACGTAGTCAGCAAGCCGGGGGAAACGTGAATGTGGCAGCGCAGGCTCAGCTGTGATCATTGTGTGTGCTTACTCGTTTCAGCGTGTGTTTGTCAAGCTCAGGTGTGGGCTATTACAGATATGTGTGTTACACTGAGTGAATGTGGCAGAGGCACCTGCTCTGTTTGAATGTTCCGTCTGTTTGATCTTAGGCCTGGAGCCTCACACACATACATGCACCTCTCTCCTGGGGCTCTGTCTGTGTGGGTGAATCACACCAAAACATGCCCAGTTTCACCCAAAAATCTAAAGAAAAAACATATATATATATTTTGCATAACAAAAAGATTTTTGCGTAGTGAGGATTTTTTTTTTTTTTGCCATGACAGTTCAGAACTTTTTCCCTTTACCGTAATGCATTTTAGTTTTGATGTTTTTTGTTTTGTTTTAATTTTTGTAAGTTCCGTTGTTCTTGAAAGGATAGTTCACCAAAAATGAAAATTCTGTCCTCATTTACTCACTCACTCACTGTTCTAAATCCATAAGACTTTGGTTAGACTTCTAAATACAAATCTGTCCCTCCATCTGCCCAGATAACCAAAACTTAGATGATCCAAAATAAGATCATAAAGGTGTCATAAAATGGTTCCAGATGAATTGAGTGCTTTAATAGTAAAAGTATCGTGAAGAGATATTGTCTCTTTATATGATAAAACAGATTTAATTCAAGTAAATTAAGGCAGAATTTTCATTTTTGTAAGAACATTTTTGTAAGAACCCTTATAAAATGCTTTAAAAATCAAAGTAGAATTTGTTTTATATACCTTCAGTTACTGTTGATTTTTAAAGCATTTTATATTTTATTTTATTTTTGCATTACTAATAAGAATTGGGGGTAAAATGTGTTTGAATATATTGTCACAATGCAGAAAATCTTGAAATTGCTCTACAATAGACACTTCGTTTAAACCAAATATAATTTCTTATTTTTGACTGAGGTGAATGGAAGTTCTTGACTGGCTTTATGATTCATTCATATAGTAGTTGTGTGTGTGGTTGGGTTGTTATATTGCCTCTGATTTTTCAAAACCTCGCAGGTTTCCGTAACAGTTGAGTAAATTATTCTAGATCACATTTTAGAATCAGCAAGAATAATTCATTTGACTTGGTTCTGGGTTTTTTTTTTTTTTAATAAACTTGAGTTTCCTTCCCGCTCAATGAATTCGCCTGGTTGACCTGGGGTTGATTTTTTATGAAGATTACCAGTGCCCATTAGGGTTCTGCGGCATGTGTGAAAGACCTCAGTAGGTTTGAAAGAGGAGCGTGTGGTCACCGTATAGCCCGAAGACTTCCCCTGGATCCACTATTGCGGTTCCCTTCCTCACTCTCTCTTTTTTCTCCTCTAGACACAAATAAATAAGTGATATTTTCATTAATCCTTGCCTTCCTTCAAAATAATATGGTGGCTACTTCATAAAACATTGATGCCAATCTTTCATTATTCATTTTGGGGGTCCTGTTTTTTCGTTCCTGAAAGGAAATTAGAAATGGGGTGGGGTGGGGGGAGTAGACACAGAGTGACAGACTGGAGGGAAAGGAAGTATGACAAGGCCAGGCAGAGTGGCGTTTTTGCATTATGTTTTATCTCCGTTCTGGCTGAATGCCATTTCCTGCCGGTGTTGGAGCTTATAGCTCAGGTAGGGCTGAGTAGTGAAGTGTGGAGAGGGAACACATATCCCAAACATATTTTCAGATTAACGAGAGTTCCGATCGCTCTGCTCCATCAGGTGACTCACAACTCTGAGATGCGAACAGAACATTCTACCTTGTATGCAATAATAAACATGAATGCTAGTAAACTCTGTACAGCGGATATTCCACTCTATATGTTTTGAACGGAGGCATCATTGAATGCTGCACATTAATGATATTGATACATGCATCCTATATCCCGTTTGCATCTAATTTGTGGTTAGCCTAATGGATGCATGTATAGAGTACGTAAAAGGTCACTTTCTCCCCTTTCCCATGGCCCTTTGCCTTCATTAAAGCCCACCATGAAAGCCTTCGCTATTGATTTGTGAGTTTCTCATGGATGCACTTTGAACTCTCTACCATTATGTGGAGCTAATGGTTGTTTGCATGTAGTTTAGACCAGCTATGTGATTTGTGACCCCTGCGGTAACCATTTTGACGGTCGCGTGGCAGAAAACACTGCTGGAACGAGAATAGGTGTATGTGCTTTTGATAACAAGCTCCTAATTTCGTAATGATGCTAAATGACAAGGAAGGCAAACCATCCGTCAAGCTGCTCTGCGGGAAGAATGGACGAATAGGTCCTGTAAAAATGAAGGATATTAGAACTATGGAGTCTATGTTATCAAGCCCAACCAGAGCTCAGCGCCATTGATGGAGATGAAGGGCCTTATATGCTTAATTAGACTGTGGTTTGGGGGACAACAGGTCAGAAATGATTTATACTAAACTATTTGTGATTTAAAAAATGCGTCCTTCCTTTATGAATTGGAGAGAAATGTTTTCAGTGTCGACCTGCAAGGTGACAAAAGTATTTCTGTAAAATTTTCTGTAATAATAGTAAAGGTTAATTACTCTTTTCCCCCCTCCTGTGTTATTACTTTAAGTACAGTTTCACAGCACAAAGGGAAAAGCTTATTAGCTCAGGCTAATTAGCACAACACCATCACATTTTCGTGGAATCGCACAAAACATAAACAAAAGATTCTATAGCTCCACCAGCAGCCTATGCAATTATTCTGATTCATACGTGTTCCAACAACAAACCAGCGTTATTGACTTTATAAGCGGTTTCAGTCCCCACCGTATCAGCTTCATCAATCGCACAGACTCTTAGCAGATGCTTGGCTGTACTTTACATCCTGGAGACGGAGGGAGGGAGAGAAGGAGAGGTTATACTCAGTCAAACCTGTTCAGCCCATGCACGTACCTGCCCGGCGAGCCGTTATGAATTTGCATGCAGAGGTGCTATATGTGTAAATGGCTTTGTAGAGCTCCATTGCGCTGAGTGATTTACATTTACTGCATAATGCCACAGTTCCAGCTTCTCCTTCACCATTTGCAGCCAAAGTTCTCTCTCTTTCTCCTAAATAAGTAGTAATCTGTCACTCGTCTAATACAAGAATGAGAGACAGAAAGCAGGGAAGTTGCCATTTTAATCTCTCAAGCAGAAATGAAAGCCTACGCGACGTCCTCCAGTGAGCTCATAGAGGAAGAATTACAATCGGTTTTACTAATCTACTTTACGAATCGCTTTCCATCAGTTAACTGTTTGAATTGTTCACCCTTCACGAGGGTTTTTACCATTTTCTGCTGCAGGTTTGAAATATTATGCACTTTGGCTGATGATACATGGGGCAACTTTTTGAGCAATTTTACCGGGCAGCTTTTTTTGAGCAATGTTGCTTGGGCATTTTCCCATTGAGAATGGGTAACAAATTTCTATCTGGATACTTAAGATCGGTCGTGGGTCCTGTGTCTCACCTGATTGCCCGTTGATGGCAACATTGCTCAAAAAGTTGCCCCGTGTATCATCAGCCTTTGTTAATGCTTGGTTTGGCTTTGCACATGTGTGCGTGTAACCGCTCGTGTGGCTCGTGTGGGCGGTCCTTGGCCAGTACCCAGCTGCCCCTGCTTTCACACTTGCATCCACACACACCTGTCAATCAAACACATTTGCTGAGGTACCACTAGACATCTGAGACTCTCTGGTTCCTTGTTTGTCTTGTTTTGTACCTCATGTTGTTCTCTCCTCCTGAGCACAAATCCACTAAACTACATCTTCAGACGTCAGTGTTTGAGGGATCTCGTGACAACTGTCAAAAAATGTCTGGATTTTTTTGAAATACAAAAAATGTATTTCACCTCTAAATCAAATAAATAAATAATCATAGATTATATATTAGAAATAAAATATTAGATAAGTATGTATGGTAAGATTTATTGTGCTGCCTGTTAATTTATGGTGATTTTAATGAAAAATAGTAATTGTATTACAGTAATGAGAATAAGATTTTTGAGCAAAAAAAAAAAAAGAAGAATGCCTCTAAATGTTTCTTTTCCTCATGCAAGATATATTTTTATATTTGTTTTCTTTTGATTTTGTGGTGAAATATTACCCTGACATTTACTTGTGAGATTTACCATTTTGTCTTTTCAGCAGATTCAGAACAGACATTGATAATTCAAAAATATTTTCCATGAGATCCACTTGCAGTGAATTTGTGCACCAAAACAGTCAAGCAATGTTGTTTTACATGACCGTTTTACCATCTCTCTCACCCTTAGAAACAGGTTGTTTTTGCTATGTAAATGAGCTCTGTTCTGATTGGGTAACTTGTTTGTACCTCCATTTGCACTGTTGTTGTTAATTAAGTTGCTGAGTCCTGATGATATGTAAATGTTGGCTGTAAAATGTTAGTGCACACATTGGGCCTCATTCATGAAACACGAGCGGAACGATTTTTTGTGTAAATCGTTCGTAAAGCTGTTCTGACGTAAACTTTCGAATTCATGATAATTTTCAAAATGTTAGTTGGTACGAAAGAAATGTACACCTGCTCCCTACCAGGTGTAAATTGTGCTTAAAACGTTCTGTGTTCTTTTTGGCAAACTGATGACACTGAATTTTGATGCACTGCCATAATAATTACAAGTTAATTTGCCCTTGCCCTCTTTTAGAATTTTTTTTTTTTTTTGAGTTGATAACTGTAAAACACAGCGCTCGTCACTGTCACTATTTACCCAGCCGTAAAATAGAGGACAGGTGGGACAAATAGCGACCAACCATCCTACTTGTACAACGACTGCCTACAACAATGGAGAAGTCAATATTACTGGTTACTGCATTTTTATATTCAGTAATATTCTTCAAAATGAGATACTAGTAATTACTAATTACTATTTTATACTAGTTGCCGCCGTGGATATTCCAAATCATAGCAACTAAAGCGTCTCAGCTGGAAAAACGCTGTGCCACCAAAATGTTCTCAATCACCACCAGCTGGTTTATTGTTAGGCATGTGGCCTATTAGTCTTTTTTGCATTTATGCAATAAACTGGAGCCAGACCTGAGAAAGTAGACCAGAATATTCCACTGCGTTCCTGGACACGCAATTTGTGTAGCTGTAATTCATAGGCGGGGATTATGCTAATTGTGAATGAGCATGCACGAGTGCCCTATTTACGAATGATTGGAATTCATTGACATACACACATTTAACTATCAAATCGGACGTTTACGAAGCGTTTGTGAATCCGGAGGAGAGTTTTCGGGAAGGTCTGTTTTACATGCAAATTACTCCGAATTTACTCCTATATTTACGCAAGTTTCATGAATGAGGCCCATTGTAATGTCATAACCATTGCAGGTAGTCGGGGTCTATGTGGACAGGTCTAATGGACAGTGTGTCTACATAGTACATTTAACTTCTCTGTTTCTAGCAATAATAGTAATATTTTGCATGATAAGTCCCACTTTTTGTAATGAGTGGTAAAACTAAACTTCAAGGCTGGGCAGAATCCTGTGTCTCCTGCCCTCAGAGGGACATGGCCGGTTGGCTGGTATGTTGTTCTCTGGTTGTAATTGAGATGTTTCAGAGGCTCCAGTGTGGCATGTGCCACTGAGGGACAGGCCAAGAGCACAGGGGGAGAGGAGAGCAGTGCTGTCTGTCTGCCTAAGAACAAGATGACTTCGGTCAATTCAATAAATACTATGACCAGTATACCCCCAAACATACAAACCTCCACACAACTTCCCCTCTGCCCCTGCACACGCACACAGTCCCTCTGAGAGCCTGTGGCAGGGAAGTTAATTGGCAGCATCTGCTCTCTAGGAGGTAGTGTACCCTCCCAAACCCCCTGCACATCCACCGGGCATCTGGAGACACCAACCTGGCTGTGGGCACCAAAAGTGATGGAGGTGGATGAGGTAGAGAGTAAGAGAGAGACAGAGATACAGAGAGCAGACTTGCAGCTGGCACTATTGCTAGCGGGGATGTGGTCAGACAGGCTGGCAAGCTGTGCCAGGCAGGGACGCCCCCAAGGGACAGATGGTTTACAGATCTGGACAGGATGCAAGGAGAGAGAGAGATGAGATCCTGACAAATGCAAAAAATGACTTGTTTTAAAGATTAAAATGCAGCACTTAGAATTTGGCAGTATAATTAATTTTACACAAATAGGGCGAGCCATCTAAATTCTCGTTTTTTTGATAGTTCTAGGCCTTAGACTTTCAGGAGTAATAGAAGCATTACTGAGATGAATGATGCTGCTATAGATTTGTGTGCAGTAGAAGAGTTGATTAATATGCAGTGGGATTGTTTAGTGTAGGATAGTGAAAGTTGCACGACACAAGATTCTGAGTAACTGGAAAATTAAAGTGGTCATCATATTTGATGTTTAAAATATAGCATTGTAGATTTTGAATAGTGAGATCTATTAACCAACACAATTAATTCTGCTTTTTAAATATGTTTTAAAATATGATTAAATTAAAAAATAACTACAATATAGTTGTTCCTACTGAAGCCTGTTTCTGTCACTGAATAAAAGTTTTTTAAAAAGTAATTGCACCTTTTTATCTCACAATTCATTTTGTAGCAGGTGCGAGTTTTTTTTTTTTCACTTTTTTTTTCATAATTGTGAGATATAAACTCACAATTGTAAGAAAATGTCAGAATTGTTTTTTCCCTCAGTATTGTACGGAGGAGGATTACGGCCAAGCAATAATAAAAAATAAAACCATCTCGAGATTATATTATATTATATATATTATAATACGAGATTAAACTTGTTAAATTTCATGAAAAAAGTCGAAATAAAATTTAGAGAATTAAATCATTAAATTTAGAGAATAAAATTGTTTCGACAAAAAACTTGTTAAATTTCCAGAAAAAAAGTTGAAATAAAATGTTGAGAATATAAACTCATTAAATTACAAGAATAAAGTTGAAATAAAATGTTGAGAATAAACTCATTAAATTACGAGAATAAAGTCGAAATAATGCTGAGAATAAACACACTGGTGTCATGTTCATTTAATCTCGTTGGACAGTGTTAATCAGAGTCTGCAGTGGCGCAGGTCGTTGAGAGCGATGCTCGTGGATGAAGCATATGCAGTCGACCCGCGTTTGAATCAGCCTTTTGCCCAACTCGCTCTTCTTCCATTTTTTTCATCACATATCACATCGGATGCTATTTACACTAAGTGAAAATAGTGATATAATATATTTACACTAAATGACAACATTTTTAGGGATGTGCTATTTACACCAAGTGAAAATAGCAATTCTATTTACGCTATGTAAAAATAGCAGATCTTTGCAATAAGTGTAAATAGTAATTAGATGCTATGTATACTTATAAATAGTGACAGATACTATTAGCACCTCAGTAGTGTTGTACATTAACAGGATGCAATAATAACATTTATTTTACTTATTAAAATTATTAAATAGACACTGCCTTATTGGTACACAACAAAGCCCTCCCTATAGCCTACCTATCTCTAAACCTACCCAATTAATACATCATTAAACACTCGTTAGGCAATTGATTTCCACTTTTCCGATGTGATATGTGATGAAAAAAGGAAGAAGAGCAAGTTCGGCAAAAGGCAAATTCAAACTCTGTTCGACCGCATACGCTTTATCCACGAGCATCGCTCTCTATGATCTGCACCACTGCAGACGCTGATTAACACTGTCCAACGAGATTAAATGAACATGACACCAGTGTGTTTATTCTCAGCATTACTTCGACTTTATTCTCGTATTTTAATTAGTTTATTCTCAACATTTTATTTAGACTTTTTTTCTCTAAATTTAATGAGTTTAATATCGAGATGGCTTTATTTTTTTATTATTACTTGGCCCTAATCCTCTTTTGTAGTATTGGACTTTTTTACTCGCAGTTCTGAGAAAAGAAGTCAGAATTGTGGGATATGAACTCGCAAATTACGAGAAAAATGTAAGAATTACGAGTTTATGTCTCGCAATTCTAACTTTATTTCTTGCAATTGCGAGTTTTATTCCGAAATTCTGATTTTATAACTTGAAATTGCTTGTTTATGGAAATTCTGATATTATATCTTGTAATTCTGAGAAAAAAGTCTAAATTTGTGAAATAAAAAGTTACGATTATTTGATTGGCTCCTTTAACTGGATTTGTACAGCAACCATATTGAGCCTCACAGTGTCTCCCATTGAGTTTTCTATGAGTGGTCCATCTCTTCCTCCTCTGCTGCATCTGCTTTGACTCACCAGCCCTCTGACCTTCATCCAGCTTTTACCTCTATCTTGCACTGATATCACTTCCTTTGAAACCTTATTTAGCCGAGTGTGTCATTGTTTTGATCTTGCAAGAGTCACCTTGTGTGGTATTGGGCAAAAAAAACACAGCTGACATCATTGCAGTCCCTGCTTACATTACAATAGCAAACATCACTGAATTTACCGGCATGCCTTGACATCACTCAGGTCGAATCCAGCTGCCCATTCAGATTTCATTTGATGAAAAACAGATCTACTTATTAATATGAAACCCTCAGTGTCCAGCTAATGTACAACTGTGTGTTTTTTTCCCAGAAGGCATTATTAGATTATGCAGTTGAAAACTGCTCTTACATGCTAGCGTATATGAACACTTTTCCTGTTGACTGTGAGAAAGACAAATCAGAAGTGATGTTGTGGTGGGTTTATGAGGAGAGTAAACCCTATCACTGTCTACTCTCAGCATCCTAACACCAGCAGTGCCTGGGGCTACATTAGCCGGAGGGCCGTACCCTACGATAACTACTTCCTGCTGTACGATCTCAACCTGGACCTGATGCTCACATCTAATGGAGATAATGTGGATGGATTTCAGCTTGTATCTCTGCCATCTCACTTGCATCTCCCTCATCCCTCTGTTTTTCCATCTCTCAGTCTATCTCAGCGCCATCTCCATCAGTGTCTGGGTGTGTTTGTATGTACATATGTGTGTCAGTGGAGTAGAGATGGAGTGCAGACTGGCGCCAGGCTGTCTCCTTGGGTCCACTCCACCTTCTCTGATAATGCAGTCAGCCAACACATCTCAGCCATCCCCTGGGAAAGAGGGAAGAGGAGGGAAAAGAGACGGCACACCTGCATCAGAGCACCCCTTCTTCTCCCCACCCCCCACAACTCTTTTCTTTTTACAAACACTTTTGTCATGTGAAGCGTTAGATCTCACTAAGAACATGAGTCACCACCCCACTAATCAGGCTTTGATGTTCTGGTTTTCTTATACACAGATATTAATGTAAATGTTAATATATATATATATATATATATAGAATATAAAAACACATTATGTTAATGCTCAAGCTAAGTTATAGTCTGAACTTCATAACATAACAAACATTTATAAAATTTAAAAACGATAGAAATTAAAAAAAATACAATATAACAATATATATATATATATATATATATATATATATATATATATATATATATATATATATATATATATATTTCTTTTTTTTTATATTAATTGTCTTTGCTGTTTTCTTGTACGACTCTTATTTTATATTTTTTGAGTCGGGCTGAGTTTCAGCTTTGCCGTGCATTGTTTGTCATGCAGTGTACAGGGGGCAATAAGAGGCAAATAACTTCTGACCGGCATATGGATATTTGGATGAATTTCTGTCTGAAGTGTTGGTCAGTTAAAGCAGAGCTATGAACCTAAATGAAACCATGGCAACAGCATTTGGAGCGATGGAGGCTACACAGTTCCGAGTTTTGGGGGTCCCATGTGTTTATTTTACAAATATAGTGAATATACTTTACACCACATGCGATTTACTCGTATAGTGAGAGTTGGTATTTTTTTATAAAATTTTTTTATTTTTATTAGTCGGTTATTCTAATGCACATTAACATACAGATACAGTCTCAGCTATACAGTGGAAAACAATAAGAAGCATACAATCAGGTAGAAAAGTCAATACAGTCAGGCTAGAGGCTAAGTATGCACCATAGAATAGAAGATCAAGAGAGGTTGTTAATGTAGCACCAGAGAGGTGTTCACATCTGCCAAAAATCATTAGACTTTTGATGTATATCAAAGGTGAGTTTCTCAAGTGGAAGTAACGTAGATATTTGAGACAACCACATTTCAAAAGAGGGTACTTGAGGAGATGACCACAGTAACAATATGCATTTCTTTGCCAGATAAACCAAAATTAAAAACAGTTGTTTGGTGTGGAAGTCAAACACAGTCTCCACTCCACTGTATAACAAATACAATTCCAGAGAAAAACAAAATTTCAACTTAAAAAGACTTTGTAAAAAATGATGTACTTTAGTCCGAAAAGAAAAGATTCTGTCACGATACCAGAAGCAGTGAAGGAATGTTCCTTTGCGTTTTTTGCAATTAAAACAAAGATCAGAGGAGTTTCTGTCAATCTTTTTTAAACGTAAAGGTGTAAGGTAAACTCTGTTAATGAATTTATAATTGAGTTTGTGAATCCCCAATGAAGTACATTTAAAGAACAAATTGTTACATATGGCGGACCAATCCGTATTATCAATTCCTTTTTCCCACACGCTCTTCAAAGTTTCTATAGAGGAAGTACATGAATTAACCAGAGCATTATATATTTTAGATATTAACCCCTTAGAAAAACTGTTTATTACAATTTGTTCTATGGCAGTAAGTTCAAATCTCAATTTACCATTATCAGACAAAAGGTTTTATGAAATGATGCAGTTGAAGGTATTTAAAAAAATTTGGACTGTGGTATACTATATTGGCGTGATATTTCTTGGAAAGATTTTAATGAATTGCCTGAAAAGAGGCAAGATAACTTAAGGATACCTAATTTAGACCAAACTGAAAGGCCAATATTCTGCAGAGAGACAGGGAAATCAGGATTAAAAGCAATAGGTGAAAACAATGTGAAATAAGCTGGAATTTTAAGATATATTTTAATGTCTCTCCATGTCAAAAGAGTGTTATAATAATGAAGTTTGTTGAAACACATTCGAGCTTTTCAATATTTGTAATAAAAGGCAGAAATTTTAATGGGAGAGGAGCGCAAGCCATTGCTTCCATGTTGAACAATCTAGAATCAGTACTTTCATTGTACCAACTGACCATATGCTTCACCTGTGCTGACCAATAGTAAAGACGAAAATTTGGTAAAGCGACTCCTCCCTTGTCTTTTGGTTTCATTAATTTGTTCAAATTAATTCGGGGCATTTTATGGTTCCAAATGAATTTAGAAAAGTGCTTATTGATGTCTTTAAAGAAAGTATTGGGTAAATAACAAGGTAGGGATTGAAATAAGTATAAAAAGAGAGTTGGTATTTAACAAAAACATTGTTGAAACCGCTCAATGTATGTCCGGATTAACTCTTTTCAGCAGTTTTATTGTTCGTCAAACTCTGATCAATTAGAAAAGCAATAATACACCAATTCTCAGCAAGCCTCATGATCTGAGGCACCACTAATGATGGCTTCCAAACAGGTTATCCAATTTCCATCTGTTATTGTCCAGACAAACAGGTAGTCCCGACCCAGAATTGCACGAGAAGCTGACACATCGAACCGCTCAAACAAGAAAAATATTTATCTTTGGGGAAATTATCCTAAGAATAGCTTACTTATAATTGTCTTTGCATCTTAAACCGGGATAGCAAAAGGCATTTCAACATTACCTTCACGTAAACAGCAGAGTAGCTTTTTACTCAAATAAGTAAATGTGTGTAATGGGAATTTTGACGACACCGTCTGTGCCCTCAAAATCTCAGAAGTCTCAGTAGGCCACGGGGTTCTCAGGTGGGGAAAGTCGACAAAACCACGGAAAAACGACACGTAAACACATACACAGACATTCACACCAGGGCATCTCTTAGACGTCACCTTGTCTAGCTGTTATTACCCTCTTTTCTCTAATGCACACCTGCCTCCATCTCCTACAGTCTGCGTATGGATGTGTGTACGTGCCCTGTGTGATTTCTGCCCCTGTGCCTAAGGAGGGGGCATGGCGCCATGTTGGCTAGTTCATAGGGCTCATCTGCTCTATGATAATTACCCCAGACATCCCTCAGCACAGCAGGGCAGATATTTTCCACTGTGGGGTCACACTTATGCAAACACACACACACACACACACACACACACACACACACATTATATTACCACTGTTAGCCACTGCTGGATGAGACTTGCTATAGCCTGATCACTATACGCACACACACACGCACACCATTATGCCACTGCTACAGATGGGATGAACCACCTGGGACATGCAGCCCCGCGATGGGGTGTTGTGGAGTGTTTTACTGATGACGCATTAGTGAGTGAGAGAGGGAGATTACATGAACCTCATTGTGAACAGGCAGACAGGGTGTGGCCGATGTTTTTACCCATTTTTTTTTCTTTGTATAAGTGTGATGTAAGAGGAGTCATTTTGGATTAAAGGGTGGGTCGGTTCCTTAAGGCCCTAAACACAATATCTATGGCCATCTACTGGCCAAGGAAAGAGCACACAAAAAGTAATTTTTCTCTGATGTTCATTCATTAATTTATGAAGTGTAGAGGTTGGGATATTAGTAAAGAAAATGTTTGGCTGGTTATATGCAGTCAAATATA